TTATCATATTTTCGTGTATATATATATATTACAATTTTTATCATATTTTCGAATTAAATGGATTAATTATATATATATTTTTTTTGTTATTTTCGTGTATATATATATATAATAGTTATCATATTTTCGTACATATATAAATTATAACTTTTATCATATTTTCGAATTAAAGGGTTTAATTATATATATATTTTTGTTATTTTCGTATATATATATATATATAGATAAATTTATATTATTATATCATATTTTTGAATTAAAGGGTTCAAATATTAATTATTAAATTAAATTTAAATATTAAACACAAATAATTTAATTTACCTTTTCAATCCGTGAAGTATTTTTTTTTAACACATTCTATTTATTATTTTTATATATTTTCGTGTATATATATTTATCTCATATGTCTATATATATATATATATATATATATATATATTATATACATTTTTGTTATTTTCGTATATATATATTTGTTATTTCGTATATATGTATATATATATATATTTATATATATAATCGATTAAAAGAAACTTAACATGAAATTGTTATATATGTTTGTAGAAAAGGTACAGGTGACTACTTCATTAAATATTACCACGCTGATCGCCCATGACTCTGTTGATGAGATCCGTGAGTTTTGGAGAAGGTAAAATTATATATTCTGGGAGATATTATATGTTGCTGTTTCGCGTATAACTACTAGAAGGGAGTTGAAGATATTAGTTTGTGAGAATGAAAAGTTGCCCAATAATCAAACTCATAATGTTGTGTACAAAGAGGTCTTTAATAATATATGATTGTGTCTTTGTGGAATAATATTTTTATTGTACAATTTTCCTCCGTATTGTAAAACTTTTATATTGCATATTGCATCTTATAATATAATAATCCCAAAGTTAATATATCCCGTTTCGCACAGGTTACGTACTATATATATCCCGTAATTTTTTTGTTCTTTATTTATATACTTATAAGACTGGATAAGTGTCCAAAAAACTGTACATCCCGTGCATCGCACGGGCTCTGTACTAGTATATATAAACAGATTTACCATTTTTTAAAAATAGCAAGTCAACTTTCTGATCAATTTCAGACACATTAATTAGTTTCCATTTATGGAATTTTTTTTAGGATATTTTACATAGAAACAAATCATCCCTTAATTGAAGGGATTTAGTATTCAAAAATACAAAAATACACATTATCCTATCCTAATTTGAAGATTCTACATAATTCAAAAAATTCGGTTACTAAGGTATTTAAGCATGTACCTACATTGTTTTTCTTTGATTCAAAACTCATTTTTTTAATTGTTTTTTCGATAATTCAAAGAAACAAAACCCTTAATAATCGGTTTAACCCTTAATAGAGAGTTTAGAGAGAGATATCGTAGGTGGGAGAGAAGTTGAAAGAGAAAATTGGGGGAGAAGAGGGCAAGAGGAGAGAGATTGTGGAAAAATTTCAAACAAAGGTCTCTCTGTTTTTTTTTTATCCGGTGAATCTCAATTTTATCTCCGGTTGTTTTCCGGCGAGTTATGCTCGTGTGACCTACCTTTGATGAGATATCGGATTGAATTTCTGCATCTGTGTGGTGAAGCTCGAGTCCCGATTGTGAAGGTCAGTAATGGACAGAAACAGAGAACCGAGGAGAGCAAGTATCGTCGGCTCCAATGGCTTCAATAGAAGGAGGCACAGGACAAACAACGTTAGAGACTCTCCAGGTTGATCAACATGAAGATTTCATTTCAACATATCTGATTTTTTTTTTTTTGAAGACTGAATCATTTTTCAGTGGATATTTATTAAAGATTGAGCTTTGCTATTTTAATTACAATTTTTGTTTTTGTTTGTTTTGTGATTTTGCAGATGAAGAGGGAGGACTGGAATTGCAGGAATCAGTGAGGTTAAGGGAGAGAGTGAAGAAAAACGATTTTTTTTTACGTTAAAAAAAAAGTTATGTCCTGGAAAAAAAAATTACAGGAAAAAGAGGAGTGAAACAAAATAAAAAGCACGTATTTTGTAAATACGTTTTCTGCACAATTTAATTGTAAAACGTATTTAGTGAATACGTTTTCTTTTATAAAAAAAATTTGTAAAATGTATTCACAAAAATACGTGAAATTGTAAAGAAAACGTATTTTGTAAATACGTAGTTTTTATATTGGTCACTCCCTCCTTTTTGTTTTGTTTTGTAACATCATTTGATTTTGTTTTCCATAATTTGCATTGTATCTGATATTGAAACATTCAATAAGACTAACAATCCCGTAACGTCAATATATTTTTTTTCCTAATTTGCATTGGTATCTGATATTGAAACATTCTATATGGTTTCTAAACAGAATACTAATTTATATATGTTAGTTTATATTTATTATTAACCTCACAGCTA